ATGGCAACTGTTCTACCGCAGGCAACCTACTGCGAGAAAAAAAATCTGCCTCGAAAGATATGTGATCGCTTAAGCGTGTGTCAATCACGGCACATAACTGACTGACGATACCTCGTCGTGATCAGATCATCTTTCCATAATAATCAATAAAATTACAGGGAGAGAAAGTCGATTTCAAATTAAGATTCTGCTAATAACTGGGTCAGATGTACCCTCATATTAACTAAGCTTAAATTGATCTAGCATACGTCCATAGATGGATCATTATTTCACCCCCAAGTAAGGTGATAATACCATGATGCAAGGGTTACCGGAAGTGAAAAGACAACGAGAAGATTTCGGTGAGGATAAAGGGGAATTAAATAAAAAAAAGCGGATTCGGGAAGACGGAAGTTTGCGATTGATGTCGTATTTAAAGTTTCAAGATTATATATGATAACGAAGTAAGAAATAAACTATTGTTATAGAACGTATGGCTACACTTAGCGAATTCAACAGTAAAACAATAATCAAGTAAAACGCTTAAATTCAAGAAGCCAAAGTACCAAGGAGAAGAGTGATAATTATTTCTGCTATGTACAGAAAATGTCGCAGAAATCCACATAGGGGAAATGGGGGAAAGGACAGTCTTCATCTGTCGTAACATTAAACTTAGCTAGCCACAGAAACTGACCCAAACATATCACAATATTCCTAACACCAAAACAACGCATTCTTTCTTACTTTTCTTACTACATTCACCATAATACCTCATTGTCTCTATGAAAATCCCAACTAGTCGCCATATGTACAATTTAGTGTCTGTGTTGGGAGGGGAATAAAATTACAATTTTAAAATCTAAACCCGAATGAATATTTACAAAAATGAATAAAAAACTATATACAAGAAACTAAACAAAATAGCATTAGCAATAAAACACCCCACAATCCTTAACTGTGGTAGAAACATCAGTTCACTCGGCGAAATCAATGCGGGACATTAATAATATAAGACGCTAGCAGCATGGCCCGGCGTTGCCCGTGCTTGATTAAAAAATCGTACGACTCATACAGCAATCGCTATCACTTGACTTAAAATATCTTTGCCCTTCCTTGCTTTTAAAGGAGTGCCC